ACCACCTGGGGGACATGGTAGGTGCCACGTCTAAGCCCCAGGCGCGCGAGGAGTAACCCCCACCCCCTGGGGTCCAGTTGTCCTAGTGTGACTGCGTCGGGGAGGTGGGTTGCTTGGGTCCGGGCATGGAGAGGGATTTCCACCTCTGTGTCCTGATGGCTCCTGGATTTTGATGTGTCAAAGGCCCTTTTTTCACGGCCAAGAAAAATGCATCCAATGGAAGGAATGGCTCCAGTTTTTCTGAGATCCCATGACTCTGGCAGCTGGGGCTGGGAGGGAGTTGGACCCACAAGGGCAGGTGCCCCCGTAGGGGGGTAAAAACTCACCTGGGGTCCAGCCTCACTGGGTCTGTACCCAAATTGCTCCAATGTCCAGCACCAGTCTGTGCAGCAAAGGGTCTGTCCTTCTGAAGGGTAGGGTATACATGTGTTCCTAGGTCTGTGTGTGCATGTACATGTGTGCATTTGTGCATGTGTATGGGGTATTCTTGTGTGTACAAGTACATGGGGGTACATGTCTGTGTGTGTTTCTGTGTCCACATGTATGTATAAATGGGTGGCACTCACATATATCTGTGTGTGTTTGTGGGGGTGTCTTTCTGTGCACGTATGTACTCATGTCTATCTATGTATGCATATGCATGGAGGTGATCACATAGTAGTGTTCACATGGCTGTGTGTATTCCCACATGCGTTTTTTCTCCCAGACCAGTGAAGAGGTGGCTGCTTTGTTGATGGGAGTCAGAGTTCCTCGCCAGCCGCACCGGAACGCCACCTACCGCCCAGCACCGGGCAGCCACGTGCCAGATGCTGTGGACTGGCGGGACAAAGACTGCGTCACAGATGTGAAGACCCAGGTACGTGGCTCCCATGGTTCCCTCCTGATGTTGGCCTGTCATGACCCACAGCTGGAACCACATGGCTTGTACAGAGATGATCCCAGCAGGGTGTGCGGCTGCAAAGCAGCCTGCCTGGGGCCACCATTCTTGTCTGATGGTGCACTTACACTGGGGAGTGAAAGCCTGGCATACCAGATGCAGTGAAACGGGTGGTGGGCAGAACTTCCGGACAGAACAAGCTAACAACTGTCCAACTTGCCAGGTGCGCTAAACAGCAACCATGGCTTCCCGACCTGGCTCAGCAGGGCCCCCCAAAGTATGGGGCCCAGGGCAGTTGCCCTGTGACACAGAGCACTGAGGTGCCCTGCTCCCAAAGAGGGGAAACTGCTAGGGCTTCCTCCCTAGTAGGGAATAAGGAGCCCAGCTGTAGGTTGCCGGGGCAACCAGGGAAGGTCAGCTGACCAGAAGGGGCAGGGCCTGGCTCCCTTATAAACTCTGGAGCTGGGGCCAGAGTCAGTTCCCTGCCAGCAGCCCAGGAGGAAGGAGTTCTGCCATGGAAGAGAGGGGAGGCCTGACTAGGAGCGGTGTTTGGCACTGCTGAGGGATGGAGTAATCCCCGGGTAGGCTTGAACGTTCTTATGGCCAAGCGGCTTCCATTTAAGTTTAGCTAGAGGGCTTGTGTTTACGGTGCTGTTTGTTAAACCGGTGGTTTGGGTGAGGCTATTAGGGGTTGGAGGAGGTCTCATAGGGGACTCACAGTGGAGTGTGAAGACCCCAGCGCCAGTGAGGGCGCAGCATTTGGCGTGCACAGACCCCAGCCCCAGAGAGGGGCAGTTGAGAAGGCCCCAGAGTGGTGGCAGCTTTACTGAAAAAGCCCCAGAGAGGGGCAGCGTTACGGAGAGAGCCCTAGAGAGGGGGGCAGCATCACTGAGAAGCCCAGTGCAGGCACAGTGAACCCCGAAGAGGAGGCAGCATTACTGAAAGACCCCAGAGAAGGGGCCGTGGCTGAGAAGTCCCGTTGTGGACGCGGACGCCCCAGAGAGGGGGCAGCATTGTTGATAAGGCCCAGAGAAGATGGCACAGAGTTGGGAGAGGGCGCGTATCAAAGGAAGGAAGGCCCGGAGAGGACAAAGAGGGGCCAAATTGTGATAGGGCTGAGACATAATGGCTATTCCATTGGCGAGGTGTGGACTGCGGTGTAGGGGAGGAAACAGAGCTGCAGATAGTGCCCCGTGGCAGTGGGGCAGTACAAGGGCAGCCTCCTGCTAATTAACATCAATTAATTAATTAACAGCAAGGCATGGCAGGCAAGAAGGCGGGTGGTTGCCCCAGGAACAGGTGTGCGGGCCACATTTTAGCTCAGCCCAGGGCAGATACGTGTTACACCCTGATTCGCCCCCCACAAGGACAGCCTTGGGTACAAAGGCTCCAGCCAGGGACAATGGTTGCCCCTTGGTTCTGTCACACTGTGAATGCCCTAGCCTAAGCGCATCTCTCGGGGTTTCCCAGGGGGCCTGTGGTGCCTGCTGGGCCTTCAGTGCTCTTGGGGCCCTGGAAGCCCAAGTGAAGCTGAAGACTGGGAAGCTGGAATCACTGAGTGCTCAGAACCTGGTCGACTGCTCCACCATGTACGGGAATCACGGCTGCAATGGTGGGTTCATGACTGAGGCCTTCCAGTACATCATCGATAACCATGGCATCGATTCGGACAGCGCCTACCCCTACACTGCTCAGGTGGGGCCTGGCATGTGCCATTCAAGGAGAGGCTAGGGCAGAGGTTTCAAGACACATGGGACCCCTGCAATCCTCCCCTTTGATCCCCTGAATAATGCAAGGCATGCAGGCCCTCCTAGAAAGACTGATGTCTCTTAGTCCTGTTAATTCCCTCAGCACGTAGGGCAAGGGACGAAGTAGCCAGGCAGTGGCTCAAATGGTTAGAGCAGAGGAAACCATCGGTCGGGACTCCTGGCTTCTCATTGCAGCTCTGGGATGGGCGTGTTAGAGCATAAGATCTGGGTTTTAATCACAGCACAGAGCGGAGTATGGATGGTAGTGGTTAGAGCCGTGGGACTGGGAGTCAGGCCTCCTGGGTTCTCATGCCAGCTCTGAGCACTGATTGGACATCAGCGATTAGGGCAGAGATTGAGGAGTTGGGCAGCACAGAGGAAGAGGGTGGTGAGTAGGGCGAGTTGTTTGGGAGCTCCAAGGTGCCCTCCCTGCATCTGTTCCTTGCTGCTTCAGAATGGGACGTGCCACTACGACCCAGCCACGTGTGCCGCCACCTGCTCCAGGTACTTTCAGCTCCCATATGGCGATGAAGCAGCCCTGAAGGACGCTGTTGCCAACATTGGACCCATCTCGGTCGCCATAGATGCGACTCTGACTTCATTCTTCCTTTACAAATCAGGTGCGTTCCCTACGTGAGGCCACAGCATTGAAGGGGGACATTTGGTTTTCTGTGGCTTGTGTTCTTTAAACGTAAAGAGGCAGCAGTTGCCATTTTGTGCCCAGAGAGGCTAAAGCACGTTGTCAAGGTTACCCACCCCTGTACTCTTGCTAGAGAGGCATTTCTTCTTTTCTGGTCCCTTTTCTGTTTTGGTCTCTCTGAATAACCACAGAGCAAAAACCCTGAGAGTCAGAAAGGGGCCGTTTGCTCTTCCCCAAGGGAAACAATATATGGCCCCTTATTTTGATGGATTTAACCTACTACTGCTGAGGGGCGAAGATGGCTCTGGGGGTCATTTGGGAAGAGATGGCAGCGGACGGCAGCTTGCAGTCGGAGTGGGGTGGATCTTACCCAGTTCCATGCCGAGGGAATTTTCCCCTGAACAGATTATGGGGCTTTTAATTCAGTCACATGAGCAGCGCACAGCAGAGAAAGGATCCGTGCCCCATATTATGGGAGTCAGGATATTGCAGTGGGACTAGGAGGATGGTGGAGCCTCTTGCTGCTGAGTCTGAGGCTCGGCTTTGCTGTTTGGATGTCGTTTCTCTCCAACAGCACTTGGGTGAGTGACCTGGGTGAGTTTTCCCTGGTGCCCATCCCACCAGGCAAGCTGGCAGCCCCAGCAAGGGGGGCAGGAACTGTCCTGGGGGTTAGACTTGCCTCCGAGGCAGATAGGGACTGGGGCAGGGGCCATAGTACTAGGGCAGAGAATGGTGCTTCTGGTCAGACTGGGCGGGTTGGGTAAGGGAGAAACTACTACCGGATTTTTTCTTCCATAAATTCTCTAACTCCTTATTTGCAGGTGTCTATGATGATCCAGGATGCACCCAGATGGTGAATCATGCGGTCCTTGTGGTTGGCTATGGCACACTCAATGGACAGGACTACTGGCTTGTGAAGAACAGGTAATGAGAATCTGTCACTGAACCATTTTTTCCTAATCTCATTAATAATCCATCTCTGGCTCTGGCTGTTCATAAGAACAGGAGAAGTGCCAAACTGGGGCAGAGCAGTGGTCCGTGTAGCCCAGTGGTCCATCTTTTGTGAAGCATATTTCTTTGCCAGTGATTGCAATGGATGCTATAGGCAACCACCATTTACTGTGTGAGAAGAAACATCTCCAACCATTTTGTTTTAATAACAATTAAAAATAATTAATAAAATAAATTATTAATAAATAATAAATCTATCATCCATGAGTTTATCCTGTCCCTTGCTGAACCTGGCTGTGCTCTCCGCCTCCACCTCCTCCAATGGCAATTAATTCCATTAACTACACGTTTTATCAAAAAGTTAGTTTTAAACCTGTCAGCTACTAATTTCAGCAGGTGCCCTCTAGTTTCCTTATTTTTAGGAGGCAACGGTGTCTTTTTGTCAGTGTTGATTATTCATATCAGTTTTCCAGCATTATCCTGGCAGCATGAAACACATGAAGTAGCTGAAAAATAACTGAAAGAGGTCACGGGGGGAACATATTATCGAGAGAGAGAT